TCTCTCTCTCTCTATCTCTCGACATGTTGCACACGCACGGGCACACGCGCGTCTGTACATTAAACGCGCACGTGTAGAACGTGCGTATAGAGTGAGAGAGTGAGAAAGACAGGCTTTTCTCGTCGCGGCTCTCGGCGAGTCTTGGCAGCGAGAACTTAGGAGGTACTGTAAATGTGTGTTTTGTCTTTTACGCTTTGCCAAGTACTCGAGTCTAAACGTGCGACAAGCAACCGCGCACCGCCACAACGTTTCCACACGCACACATTGAGGATGACTCCTTATGCTTTCATTTCTTTTCCTCTAACCTAATCCCGCGCACGCGTTTCTCTACGTAGCCCAAGTAACAGCACGCATGCTACACCAGCTCGATAGCAAAATTACGTAACGTTCGCACTCGCTTTATAAAGTTGGGATGATAAGCGATCGAGGACGGCGGTGCTAAACTATTGCGCTAAATTCCCGGTTAAGCTCGGTAAAAAAGTTGCAATGTGTCACCAGTTGTGCAAAGTCAAGGCGATTGTCGGATACGGGGTGCTGGTGGGTGGCCGATGTTGGCGAGGGGGTTGGGTGAGGAGTAGACAGACAGTTCCATACAGAGAGAGGAAGAGAGAGAGAGAGGAAGAGAGAGAGAGAGAGAGAGAGAGAGAGAGAGATGGGGGTTGGGAGGGGGGAAGACAATGCCTCGTATCGGGAATGTGAAATGAGCGAGAAGAGCCGATAAAAGTCTCGACCGTTCCATACATTATAAATAAGAAATCGTATTCGCTCGTTGTCATCGTAAAAATTTTATTATTAAGTCGATGTGAGGCCAACGCGAAAGGCTGTTTTAATGCTTATGGGCACGTTTGTCTCGGCTCGGCCATCTCACGCCGAAACTTAATTAATTAATATCGAAGGCGATCCTCCCGATTAACGGAACTAGAGACTTATTTCCTTTTAGCGAAGTTAAGCAAAGTTGACCTTAGCCCCGTCGATGCAAAGTGACGAAGAACCCACGAAGTCTCGGCGGGACACCGCGCAATTAACGAATCGCCGATGACAGCCTTAATGCCGTATAATGATAATAGTTGTATTTAATGCCGCTGGCCGCTGCATAATCGCGGATAATGAATCTCGCGACCGACGTTGAGACATTCGTGGCCTCCTCATCCCCATCGTCGTTCGCGCTCGCCCGATCATCGCGACAACGACGGCTCTCGAGAGTCTCGGGTCACGCTACCGCTGATCTCGGGCTTTCTTCCTTTCATTGGCGCAGGGTGTCATCCTGTCCTCCTTCTACTGGGGCTACGTGATAACGCACATCCCCGGTGGCATGATAGCCGAGAAGTTCGGCGGCAAATACACCCTCGGTCTCGGCATCCTCTGGAACGCCATCTTCACGATACTGACGCCCCTGGGCGTGAAGCTCGGCGGCGCCACGGCCCTCATCGTCCTCCGGGTTCTCGTGGGCCTCGCCCAGGGCGCGGCCTACCCGGCGCTGAACGTCATGCTGGCCCAGTGGGTGCCGATCGAAGAGCGCTCCAAGGCCGGATCACTGGTGTTCGCCGGTGCGCCATTGGGCACTGTGTTCGCCACGACGATATCCGGACTCATTCTGCACTATAGCGACGACGGCTGGCCGACGGTGTTTTATTTCTTCGGGGGCGTCAGCGTGCTCTGGTTCATCGTCTGGGTCCTCGTATGCTACAACAGCCCAAGCGAGCACCCCTTCGTCACGGACGCCGAAGCGAAATTCTTGCAGGAGCAGCTGAGCCGCCACAAGCACGCCAAGCCACCGGCGGTACCCTGGGGCCATGTGCTGCGCTCTCTCCCGGTTTGGGCGCTGGTTGCGGCGATGGTTGGACACGGCTGGGGCTTCCTCACCATGATAAGCGACCTGCCCAAATACATGAGCAGCGTCTTAAAGTTCTCCATCGAGAACAACGGCTACTTATCGTCCCTGCCCTACCTCTGCATGTGGTTCGGCAGCATCCTCACCTCCTGGGTGGCCGACTGGCTTATAGCCCGACGTCACATGTCGACCTCCAATGTCCGCAAGCTGGGTAATTCGATAGCGTCCGTGGGGCCGGCCCTCTTCATCGTTGGCGCCTCCTACGCCGGCTGCGACCGGGTCTACGTCGTAACGATGATAGCCCTGGGCATGACTCTCATGGGCGCGGCTCTCCCGAGCATGAAGGTCAATGGTCTCGACCTCAGCCCGAATTACGCCGGCTCGCTCATGGCATTGACCAATGGCATCGGGGCGTTCACGGGCATTGTTACGCCTTATATCGTCGGCGTCTTGACGCCTAATCAGACTCTGTCGGAGTGGCGGCTCGTCTTCTGGATAATTTGCGCGGTGTTTTTGGCGAGTAATTTGGTGTTCGTGCTGTGGGCCGACGGGGACGTGCAATATTGGAACGATCCGGATTTCCTGCGACAGGAGAAAAGTGATAAGCGGGCAAGGAAGGTGAAGGAGAGCATTGAGCTACTCACCATACAAAATAACTCGAGTACAAAATAAACGAGAGAATGCGTGAACGACTGGTGGGGATAAGGTGGTAGGAGAAGGAGGAGGAGGAGGAGGAGGAGGAGGAGGGGGGGGGGGGAGGTCGCTGCCTAATATTGTCTGATGTAATTATTCGAATGGAGGGGCGCAAGCGTAGCTATAGTAGGTCTCGGTGCCCACAATATAAGATACCGCCAACTTGCCTGGACTTAGGCATTAGGGCAGTCGGATAAACGTTGCCGTAAAGTACTTTTGTAAAATATTCTTATAAACTAGTGAAAGTTGGAATTGTGTTACTCTTTATCCAGTTCTATACTATATGATGGTCCTTTCTTTTTCTCTTTTTTTTTCTATTCATTTTTCTTTTTTTTTTGTTTTGTTTTATATTTTCGAAATTCTTTACAAATCACAATATTATGGCTTTTGACATGTAAATCACTTTTATTCGTCTAAGTTTTTTATTATTATTTTGTTTTCGTTTTTCTTCAATTTTTTTCTTTTCTTGTAAATAACTATTGTACTATATAGAGCTCTATGTATACTTAACAAAAAAAAAAAAAATAAATAAATAAAAAAAAAATAAAAGAAAGTGCCAAAAACTGAAACCTGTACAGATGTTGAAAATACATAGGATACAAGTAAAATTGTGTAAATCAGTTTTATCTTCGTAAATAGAGCTTAGATGCCACTTTTATACAAATTTTACCTTTGAGCTTTTTATCTACTTTATGAATGAATAATATCGTTATATTTATTATAATATTGATGATGCCAATCTGCCGATCGTGCACTACAAGTTCTATCCACTAAGAGAAGTATAAGGTCTTTATAAAATTGATGAATTGTAATTATTTTCATATCTGGATTACTGATTTATCGATCATATTAGCGATTATGCTTTGTCTCTTAAAAGTGAGATAATGTTAAAGGGAATATACTAGCAAACGCATTTAATTGAAGCAATATAATCTGATGGTAAAAGCATATAAAAATAAAAGTCCGTATAATAAAATTTATTTGCTAGTTTATTTGAGATTGTGTGTTATTAACTAATATGCACTTCGTCTTCCTACTCCGGAGAATATTATTAAATAGAATAACTTTTAATGATATTTTACGACATTAATTGGGGAAATATGCATATAAATTCGTAATTTACAAAATTTCCTCTATTATCCTTAAGACTTGGCTTTTTATTAATTAATACTTCTAAATTCGGGTTAACTATTTGAGGATATATTTTAGACGGGCAAAAAAAGCAAATATCAAAAACTAAAAAGAGTATATACGACATTTTGAAATTTTCTATTTCCGGTAATCTCACTCATTATTATATTGATATCAGTAAAAATTGTCAAAAGAAAAAAAATTTTCTTATAATAATTTTAAAATGGCATTGTACTACTAATACATATAAAATGCATTTTACATCGACTTCCATTTTCATTGGGATATGTAATGATTAACATATTTAAAAGTGTTGCATGATTTTATAAATTAGTCGATTAAAATTAATTAAATTCTCTGCATCCTTTCATTTATGCTCGATATTTATTTATTTCAAACATTGCTTTATTATATTGGAATAAATAAAATCTCTTGGCAGTAAATTATTCAATTCATCATTGATATAGAAACTCAGAATATGTAAAAAGAAAAAAAAAGAAGAAAAAAAAAGAAAAGAAAAAAACAAGTATTACATAATGAATAAGTTAAATATGCGTTGAACGAATTTAAATTAATGTGTATATTATTTAAATAAAATATTATTCTTAATAATTTTAATTAACTCCAAGTGAGGAAATATGACAAAAATATAAAGAAAAATACTGGACATTAGTATTACTTTTGTAATTGTCTACGTGTAAGTAAATTAATTTTTCTATATTTACATGTGCATTAATTTGAAATGCTTAAATAAATATTTCGTTTTCTCATCGATTGATTGTCATAATTCGTTTTCTATGGCTAAAAAGTGCGTATTCTTATCCTGGACGGATTATTAAAATTACTTAATAAGTTATACTACCTTGGGAACATTGAAAACATGCGATTCTTCTCGGGACTATGTATTATCGTTTTAATTATCTTGACTTCCTTCATTGCCCATTAATGCGATTCACAACACTCATTTGCGTACGAGTATTAATGGACTTGAGTGATGAGACAATCTACTCAACATTCAACATCTATCAACATTCAACCGTTCCATGATCAAATAAATATTCACAAACGATCTTCAATAATTATCTAAACTTCAAATTCCTCTTGTGATGCTATCCAATACCAATTACAAACATTAATTTAATAGTTATGGCATTTTTTTTTACGAAATTAGCCACATCAAATTTAGTTTATATCGCGCTTATGCATTACTAATATATAATCGATGATAATAATATTCTAATGGAAAAGGAATAGAATTTTAATTAAAAGATCGTTAATTATGTTGTAATATAATATACATTAATAACTTGTGGTCATATATTATTTTGCCAATTAAACAATAATTTATTTCATACACAGTAGTATGTTGATCGCTAAGTCTATTGGAAAAATAAACATATTTTACTTATTTATGAAATAAATGTACTCTATACTTATCACATGTAGTGTTTTTATTCATTAAATACCTTAAAATGTTTTCGTTAATCATTATTATATAATTTAATACTTACAGTAACAATCAAGTCACTGATGAATTAATACATTTACATATACAAATAAGAGTAAAAAAGAATTTTTATCAACTCTTATATATATATATATATATATATATATATATATATATATATATACACTTGATAAGAATTCTTCTTCACTCGTATTATATCTCATTTTTTTACGATTTCAGCTACTTACGTATTAATTAAAGTTAAAAATTAAAATTGATAAATGTAATACTCGCCTGATTAAAAAATCTTAGTATTATGATAATATTTAGAAGGAAGAAATATTTTAGATTATTCCAGTAATTTACATTTGTTAATTTTACGTATATATTTGTACGAGTCCGACTTTGTTATTCTGCTCTTATATTTGAAAATAGAATTTAATATCCACGTAACGAAGCTCTGATTTCTGTTTTATGTTAATTTATTTAAAATTATACATTGATATTATATAATGAATATTACAAATTCATTTTTCATGTAAATTTTATATATTCATTTTACAGAATATTACAATGTACTCTATAAAATATCGAAGATCGCACCTTTTTTTTCTTCTTCTTTTTTTGTCTTTTCTTTTGTAATACATACATATAATTTAAATATTACAAATTTTCTCCTTCAAGAATTATTTTATTTTTAATTTATCGTAATGTTACGAATACTAAAACATAATTATTTATCTCGTAACATAACATAAATGATCATGTGGTATTCTACGTTAACTCTTAAATGTGAATTTTAAATGAATTTGTCCTTAAAATTTTGAATACATTCGTTGTGAATGTTTCCATAAAATCTTACACGATTGCTTTACGTTTCGATTTCTCACGTCGCACTTTTCAATATATCATTCGCGCAGACACCAAGTCAGTACGATCTTGTTGTATGACTATTTTCGTTTTATATTTTTCATTATATATGCATGGAGGAGATATTACCTTATGATTTACAATTCAGTAATTCAGTAATTATTTTTTTTAATCAATAATTTATATAAAAAAAATTTCTATTTTTACAGATAATAAATGAAAAATCTTATGGAAGATAGAATATAAGAAAGAAATAATCGTATTTTTTTTTATCTAAAAAGTTAATATTCATTATTTCAATTTACATATATCTGAATATGTATTAAAATGCATATATTATTATTGCTATCATTATTATTATCATTGTTAATAGCATTGTTGTTGGTGGTGGTGGTTTTTTTTTTTTTCTTTTTCAATATCAATATTATTGTCGTTGCATTTATGTGTTTAAAGTAGACAAAAAAAGCGTTTATAGACAATACGGATGATATCGAGTTTTCATGAACAATTTCAAGGAATTATGATCTATTCTTTTTGTTTATAAATACTGAAGGCTTCTAATAAAACAAAAATAAATGAATAACTCAAGGATAATATTTTGTTAATAAATAATTTAATATTAAGCATTTTTTATAGCGAAAAAAACTCTCTTGGTATGAAAAGATGTCAATCAAAATAATTACTTAGCAAATAAAATAATCATTAAAAATGGAATAAAGTAACTAAAAGTAAGAATAATAAGTTATTGTACAAACTTAAATTGAATTATATCTATCTACCTGCCTGAGATTCATCGCTATTTATAGCTCTCACTTTTTACATATCACTTCTCTCTCTCTCTCTCGCTCTCGCGCGCTCTCTCTCTCTCTCTCTCTCTCTCGCTTACCATTACTATGTCTGTCTTTTTGAATTTTCTACTGGGAATTTAGTAGCGCTTAGTTTCACTTTGAATTTTTGCCTTTCATGTGTATATATGGCCTAAGTGAGATAAAGAGATAAAGAGAACGTTATGTGTAAAAAGTATAAGGTTCGCAAGTTTATGCGGATCATCATCTGTTGGTGAATGAGTATCTTGAGAATTTTTACTTATTCGAAAACGTGTTTTCAACGAATGAATCAGCGAAGAGCATAAAATTTAAACTAAATCTAATTAGTTTAGTCATAAACTTTATAGCATACTATTTTTAATATCAATTTTTTTTTTTTTTTTTTTTTTTTTTTTTTTTTTATAATCATTTAATATTATCTAATTTAAACAATAATAAATTTGTATAATGTGTAAGTGTATTTTATTTCTATTTTTCCATTTATTGCCAAGAGAGAGTTTTTTATTCCCTTCAAGTATCTACATATTTAAATGCCAAAAGCATGTTTAATTGATAAAACTTTATCAAATGTGAACAATAAGGAGGCTATTACATCGACAGTATCCAATAATAGTCGCTTTGTAACATCAAATTTATTATAATTTATTCGTTTTTGTTTCTTAAATTATATCCTGTTGGTACTTATGGAAGCCTCTGTTCCGTTCATTTTTCCTTTACATGTTTTTTTCTTTCTTTTTCTTTTAATTTTCAGTTAATTGCTGCGCTATCATTGCTAATGTATGATTGATAAATACATGATTGATGGAAGAAAAATTTGCAGACTAAATATATTATACAATTGCGTATATATGATAGGAGAAACTGTAATATAAACTGAAAGATAAATATAGATATAAATATGTACATAAACTATCTAGAATATATAAATAAAGTTATAAGCAAATTTTCTATAAGATTAGGCTGATAAATGGAAGTTAAAAATTTTAAAACATGTTAATTTTAATAAATAAGACGTTGATATTTGTTGATTAATTAGTTGTTAGTAAGTGAAGAGCACGTTTTGTTATTATAACAATTTTCACCTAAATTAGGTCGATACGTTAATACTGAGCGTGTATACAGAAATTTTTCGAATAAGAAAATATTGAATTTAGGAATACACTAATTAAATTAACAGAAAATTATAATAAAATCATTATTTCTTATATAGAAATAATTAATAACCTTAATAAATCGCTAATAAGTGTATCTTACAATATTCAAATGTTATTTATGTTAATAACTAATAGAAATACGTTTGCTTAACTATTTTTTTTTTTAAATAGAAATATATTTTTTTAAAAAATTTTTACTGTAGCTTCGATCATTAATTTATATATAAAATTCAATAGGCAAAACATTTCATCGTATTTAAAATATTTAACTTATCATTTTTCATTTAAAATTTTATCTCTAATACATTAATTCATAATTGATTAATTTATTTAATTGTTATTACGTATTGGTATATTATGTATTTACTACAATAATTGAAAATTTTACATTACTATTTGGTCACGTCGATTATCTAATTCTTAAATTAGAATAATTTTAAATTGTTTTAAGCAATTTTATTATTATAATACTCGATACCTTAAATTATGTAAAATAAAAATTGAAATTATCATAAACAAATTACACTTTTTTTCCGAAAGATATTAAAATTTTTAGGATCTGTAATATATTTTGTCATATTATATTTCATCTTCTTAAAAATACAAATAAATTTATTACTTTACAAATCGTCTTTATAAATTGATGAATAAATATTTTAATAATAAACATATCTTTACTATGCTTGAATATTTATTATTTATATTTAGTTAAAACTTGTAAATATAACATTGGTGTAACAAATAGATATCAATTTCAATAATATTATTATTTTGTTGATAATAAAGTCCATATTTTCAAGTAATTATTATATGTATGTTTTTACAAATTGAAGTAATTTTTATTAATGGTGAATGCATTTGCAATAAATTGCTAATACATAAATTATTGTAAATTACCGTAAGTCTTTATCGACGTTGTTATTAAATATTATATGAAATCCAGTATTAATTTACGATTTTTCTTATTTTAAGTGAAACTAGACCGAATTATAAAAAAAAATAATAGTTCAATAGTAATATTTTGATTATCTACTAAAAACGTTACATTATATATTTCATTCCGGATTTGGTTATACAAACAAGTTACGTAATAAGCTTACTAAAAAGAGAGTTTAATAATAATAAATACATTTTTGTTATGGACCGGACAGTTGGATTTGCTTAGTATGTAAATAAATATGTATTATATATATATATATATATATATATATATATAATTTAATGAATATTTTTCATCAAAGTGGTAATATGAAAATTATAAACAAAAGCAAAAGTTTATGCGATAACAGATATTTAATTATGAATAAATTTAATTTGACAGTAATATTTATTACAATTGTTGAATGAAACAAAGGTTATTGAATCCTAACATTTCATCACTCTAAATTATGTTTTGCATTCAAGATTTTTTCATTATTTATAACTTTTATTGTAAATATATTTTATGTACTAATATATACATTTTATTTACATTTATACAGAAATTATTTCGTACTATTAATTTTTTTTGTAAATAATTTTTGAAAATTTATTATTTTTTTTTTCATTTACTTTTTTTAAAGGAACAATTACACGATGTAAATTATAAAAAGGTTCATCGCCATTCTTAATTCACTTAGATTATATATCATTTTAATTTAAAACAATTTGAGGCATGATTTTGGAAGACGAAAGACAAATTTGAATTTACGATACATAAATAGAGTATTACGGAGGCTATATAATTTGTTCAATTTAATTGAAATAACTAACAATAAGAAATGATTTCACATTTACCCTCCACACTGAATTAACAATGAAAAATATTATATTTTTTAATGATAAAGTATATTTGATAATCTCAAAGCTTATGTCATACTCTTCTTTTGCATGAAAAACAAATTGTTAGATAAAATTATCTCCATCTATAATATTTATTTCGATTTGAATTTTTTCTCAATAACCGTTTTATGTTGATTATATATATATATATATTTATTTATTTATGAAATGTAATAAGTCAATTTCTCTATTGAATTTAAGAAGGTCAGGCTTGTCGTGAAAAAAATATTATTAATTGTAATTTATATGGTTGAAGATTAATTTATTAAACTTTATATTAAATTAATCATTCATTGTTGCTTGTCATTTAATGTAATTGTTGTTACATATTTGAAAAGTATCTATTATCTGTTTCAATAAAATATTAATTTACTTTCCACATAAAGTGCGATTGCGATTAAATTCTCAAGTACGTGTAACTGACATAGTTAATGACAAATTTAAGCATAAAATTTAATATAAGATTAATAGAAATTAGATAATTTTTGAAATGATTGAAATTATCATAATAAGAAAATAATAATAACGCAAATTACATAAATTGAAGAATTTGACTGTGTGATTAGTATTTGATAATATTTTATAAAAAAGATTTTCTCCAATGGCTTTATAAACCTCATGATTATATTTTATAATTTAAAATCATGAATTTTATCATTAAAATTTGGCAGATTTCCGATTTTTTTTTTCAAGATTCAAATCAAGATTTATTTTATTCATTCAACACAAAAATGTTAATATCTAATAATAACAACAGTTAATTACAAAAATTACAAAGCACGAGTGAAACTTTAAAGAGCACTTTTTTTTTATGTATCTCCGATAATTATTTGTTTATATTAACTGAATGCTTATATTAAATTTTATTATGAAGTGTTCTACGACCTGAAATATACAGATTTTTTTATATTGAAGCCTATGATAATAAATGTTTATGTTTTATTTATTTTTTTGTAAACAATATAAAAAAGTAACTAGTTTTATTTCGTTAAAAAAATATTTATTAAACATGGAATTATAATGTATTTTAAATATTTTACATTATATGAGGTAATAAGAACTCGTTGAATGTTAGATAATATAAATAATTGTTTTTGGTGTCAAAGTCACACGCATTAATGACAATAACTGTATTCGACGAAAATGATTGGAAATTAAAAATATTTCTATTATATATAAATTATTATATATGCAATATATTATAACTAAAATTATTAAATCTTCATGGTATATTTTTAAATTACAATTATATCGATATAAGACGAGATAAGTTTTAAATTAAAGTATACATTAGTATAATTATATTATAAATAAGTAAATAAATAAGCGATATAATAAATAAGTAAGTGTATAAATTAATAAATAAACAAATAGGTAAATAAATGTATTAAAATAAATGAATATAAATATTTCACTTTTGTTTATCTAATCTGCAGAAATTGCTGATGCTATCCCCTTAATTCCTAATTATTTATTAAAAATTATTGTAATACAATATTATTAGCATCATTACATGCATTGGTTCTTATTATTAGAGTAAAATACGTTTACGTATATAAACATCGACGTTTATATTCACATAATTTTCTATTTATTGAACATTTGACTTGTACAAATGTATTATATCGTGCATAATATGCATTATATAATCAAGTACGAAAATTTATATAAATACTTATTAGCAAATGGAAGACGATACTTATTGTATATTAAAAATAAAATATGTACACAAGAATTATTATATAATAATAAATTGGTAACTTATTTATTAAGCGAAATTTCCAATCATACGTATCACTGTTAATGAAAATGAAATTATTCTTTGATTATAAACCAACGAATAATTTAATAAGACAAGTGAATCGAATAAATAATATCTTAATTAAGTAATTAGGTGTGTTAATAAGCGAATTCAACTTGGATTGTAAACCATTGATATTGTGTGAATGTGTTTTCTTTGCGAAAATTAGTCAAAGCGTCATAGCTTAGTAAAATATTCGTTCGAAAAAGTGAGAAATAAAGTTAAGAGAGTCAGACACTGTTATTTTTTATTAAAAATTTTAAAAATTATTCGACGTTGAAGGAATTCAACGTTTAGCGTATCAATCGTCAAACATTAATATAAGTGCATTTTACTTGAAAACAACAAATTTTGTATTTTAAAACTTTGATTTAGTGACAGGCGTGATTCATTGGTACAATAAAGCTATGTTATTGGGTGGTAAGTGTACGGGGCGTGGGAGGGGAGATAGATGCTGTACACACTCGTGTCTGCATGCTCCCACGTTATACTTTAATTTATAAGAATTATGAGGTAAAATATGTTTGTATGCTTCTGTAATAAGAGCATAATATACTATTTTATGAGTATAAGTGATGAAATATTCGTGTTCATCATGGCAAGAGTTACCTGTTATGCACGAAATTTTTACAAGTTTTTAGTAACACGTGCATGTTACAGTTAGCAGTTATGCCAACTCAACGTAATATAAACCAGTTGGGCAGGTTGTTTAGTTATGTACCAAACAGCACCTTTTTTTTTTTTTTTTTTTTTTTGTTTTTTTTGTTTTTTTTGTTTTTTTCCACACACACACACTTTTTAAAGATGTCTAGAGTAAATTTTAACTGATATATAATTAGACGTGGCTATTATTCATTCCTCGGAATGCGCGAAACTTGTATTGCTTTGTTTTTTAACTTGTGGGTAGATAATATTCCCTGGGTATGTAGTCAGGCTTGGGACTGTTGGGCTCTATGCCCAGAAGTTCGCCCATGAACGCGATGTATGTTATAGCCAGACGAAGTGTCTCGATTCTCGACAGTCGCTTCTCGTAGGCAAATGTCGGCACCTGCGTAAGTAAAAACATTAGCTCTATGATAGATTATTTAATGTAGCACTTTTATCCGACATTATACACATACATAATCCTTTCATTAATTAATGCCATTTATTTAGGCGATTTTCACGATTTGTTACATGTTTAGGTTATTATTTAGGTTATTTAGGTTATTTAGTCTTTTTCTTTTTGCTCTTCATTTCTTTAATAAGATGCGTAAATGAAGGAGTTCTATATATCTTGTACATTCATTTTTATCTGTAAAATAAACTTTTCTGTAAAATCTTATAAAATTGAGTGCATACGTGACGAGTACGTTAGGAGGGTAAAATTAATCTATTTTTATAGAATATTATTTAAGAAATTTAATCGAAAATCATTTAATGCTTATATATTACGTACAATAATCAATGAGAATTCCTTTGCATTTAAGAGAGCGTCGAAGAACCGTAGAAAGTTAAAAGAAAAAAAAATTGTTATTACGTACAGTCATTGTTTTGTTATTGGAGATTTGTAACACCGAGTCATATGAAATATAAATATTGTAATCTTGAGGTACAAATTTTTTATACATTTTGTGCTACGCACAATGAATTTGTTTGAATGCTTAAAACTACATTAATTAATTACTACACTTATTTCAGAATATTATAATATTTTTGTGTATCATCGACCATCTTGTTTGTATTTTTATTTGTAAGCTTCTTATGTGTTTCTGACCATACACACACACGCACGCACGCGCGCGCGCGCGCGCGCCCACACACACACACATGCATATGTATATAATGTAATATAATCATTTCAAAATTCTATAATAATACAAATAAAAATTTAATATATTTTCTTTTATGTTACGCAATGAGGCAAACAATAATTTTTAATTAGCCATTGATAATTAATTAAAAATGTAAGCGTCTACGTGTACAGGACGATGCATAGCCATTTTTCAATGAGTGCAACCGTACATTTATTTATAAAAATAATTTATTTATAAAAATTTGCCAGTTTACTATTCGATGAATTAACTTTCTTCAATAAATCAATTTTTTTCTTTTTTTTTTATGACATCTTTTTCAAACAATTTTTTTTATTTATAAAATTAACATGCGCGCGCATACACACACACACACACACACACACACACACAAATTAGTAAAACTACCTTTCGTCGCAGCTTATCAAAAGCTTCATTTAAGTTGAACATTCTGCGTCTTTCACGAATGTTTGCAGCTCTTCTTTGCGAAACCGTCGCTACCCTTCGCCTCGGTTTTTTTGTTGTCGATGAAGGAACATTCGACGAACGTCCATTTTGCGTGAACCTGCTAGAAATTTAAAAGAATTATATCAAATTAATAATCCCTTAGATATTTTATCAATAATTGTAATATTTGCTAAATGATTTATTAAATATTTATAAATGTAAGAAAATGTACATTGTCCGAGTATAATATTATAAGTATTTAAAGTGTAAAAAACAATTATAATATACGAATAAATATAACTTTACGTTTATAATAATCACTTGTGAATATGGAAAAATCAAACTTCCTTCAATATAAGAGAATAATTTTTTTGTCATTACAACTGATTTGTACAAGCTTCTGTCTGCAAAATTCTATTCTTTTATTAAATCTATTACTATTAACCAAATTTTCGACAATGTTCGTAAAATTTGGTACTTAACACTGTTTATTTATATTTAACGCTGGTTACACATAATTCAGCAGCAATTGCATGGCATTGTCGGCTATCGTTTAAAAAAATCTAGCAAATTAAACGTATCAAGTAACGTCACATTAAATTATTGCACCTTATTAATTTAAAGCAATAAGATTAGACCTTATTAATTGTGTTTTTATATATAATTTATGATAAATAATCTCACATAAATATTAATACGAGTAGTTAAAATATTTTGCTTTTGAAAGGAAAACTGCTAAATATCATAAAAAACAATTTACTTTATCTACCAATTCAAACTAATGAGTTAAAATCTTATCTTCAAAGATAAGACTGATATTTCTACGAAATTTGATCAATGTAACTATTTTTTAATGTACTATTTACTACGAAGAAACAATACTTATTATATATATATATATATATATGAAATACAAGGGAAACAGTAATTTTACAAATTATTGTAAACACATAAAAATATCTTCAATTATAAAATTTATCTTCATAATTACGTATAGCAAATTGGCAATTAACATAATTGTGAGTAAAAAGTGCGCTGAAATTCAAAAATTTTCAAAATAAATTATATAATAAACAGAGTAATTGCAATATTCTCGTCCATTGAAATCATAATATTTATATTATAAATCTAATTATTTTAAACGTTTTTTAAAAGAGGAAATAAAATATTTTTAACTTATTAAAATGTATTTATCAGCATTAAGTCCTGGGCAATAAATATTATAGATTAGTTTTTGATAGAAAACTCGAAACAACCAAATAAAACTTAATCTATTACATATATTTGTTAAGCAAAATTTATTGCAAAATATAGCTCTTCATGAATACAAATTTTAGAAACATATTTTATGAAATAACATTTTTTTTTTTTTTTTTCAAATAAATACTGACGAATGTTAAACGTTTGAATCTATGGAAATAAATTTGACTGTTATTGCTCATCTAGTCAGTTTTTTATGTCAATTTATTTATTCTAGTAATTATTTCAAAATATAGTTAATTGCTACGTGAGATTTAATTATTAGCCAACAGATAATTAATTATATTATTTAATTTGATTGAGTAAAATACATGTATTATAATTTTACTATTAACGAGGTACATTAATCTTCGCATTTTGTACTAGACAATTTAATTAGAATTATAAAAAAAAAACTATAAAAAAAATTGTAATTTTGAATTTTCAAGATTTTGTAATTTTGTAGAGTATTTAATTTTTCAGATCTTATCAATATATTAGTAACTTTCTAATAATAATTTTTTAATATAAATTTGATACAAGTGAATACTTGTATCTATTTTCATATGATTTTTCATCACAGATATTACTGTATTTGCTTAACTTTTTAACATAAATACGACAATGATTTTAAAATATTTTTTTCCATCGAATCAAATTAGTTATTATTTAAAATTGTTTTTAAAGTTTAATGTTATTTTATTGTTTGATATAATTACGAAAGGGTATTTAAATTACTTTCATTAATGTTTACAGAATTTCGATAAGCTCCTTTTTGATTAAATATTTGTCGAATAATTCGCAAATATTCATACAAATACAATAATATTAGTAATAATTTTAAAAAATTTTCTATGCCAGAATGAATTGCGTTTAATAGTAAAAATATATTATGATAACATTTAAAAATTTCATATACCGTGCAAATTAGTATTACGTCAGAATATTTGATTTTCCCAATAGGATGTAAGGTTTAATATCTTTACCTCATAGCTTGAAATTTGAATAGATTTTTTTTTTTTTTTTTTTTTTTTTTTTTTTTTTTTATATATTAACGTAAATACACTGATAACAGTAATATATATATTTACTTATAAATAAATTTTTATTTACTTCTACGTCCAGTTGAATACTTCAATTTTAATGTATTATAGGCTGTATTGGGTATCGCGTTTTCACAAAAGGTAAAATAAAATTCGCACTCATGTGTAATAAACAATATACCATACAAAATTTGTATCTTCATTGCTAATTAACGATTACGATAAACTTTTATAATAAATTTACTTGTAACTTATATAATATGCATGGCATTAGTATTATTATTGTCCATTCATATAATATTTTAGTTTATTACGTTTATGTAACTAGAATATCATCTCAAACGAAAAGTACAGTTGTAGCAATTTTATTGTCGCCCTTAAAATATAAATTATCGGCAAATACAAAGAACTGGCGTGTTTCAATATTCAATTTCTATTCGGAAATAATTATGTGTGGTTGTAAGCAGCCGAGATGAATTCGTATGTCACGGCCATTGAACAATCGAGAAACGTCGAAATAATTACACGACCGTTCGCACTGCGTCGAATAATTCGATTTGTACGTTCGAGCGACATGAGAGGAGGAGTGAGGAAAGTAAATCCAAACGTCGTCTTGTGCACAAAACCAAGGAGCTTACCCACACATAGACCGTAGATGCGATCAATCGAATAATCGTGTCCTCACCTTTGGTGCAGCAGTGCGCAGGGTTGTCTGTAAAGTCCGTGTTCGTTGACGTGCGGGTGGGTGGGGGGCGGGGCCGCCGGATATAAAACCGAACTGTCCCACATGGGGTAGCCGCCTATGTCGTTACCAACGTACTGGGACATCTCCGAGGTCGTCGTTATTGCCTGTATCATGTCAAAAAATTGTTTAACGACGAAAATCGTCTCGCTCCTCCTGGCCCTTGGTTATTTCAATGAATTTGTGTGCGTGCGCGTGTGCGTGTGTGCGTGTAGTTCGAAAAGAAACAAAATGAAGGAGATTGTATGAATTTCAAAAGAATCGTTTTACAACTGTTCAATCAATATTTTTTATCAATTTGGTTTTTTTTTTTTTTTATACTAGACGATTGTTGCTAGGCGTGAAAATTTGTCTTGCATAATTATCAATATTGATAAGAGCAAATAAACTTAGCGTAATAATCGGAAACGAAACGCGCTCGTGAAATCCGTCGGCACCCGGCACACGAATATGTCTAACGAGGCCACGGATTCCTTTACCTTAGCCGCACTCTAGAAATAATACGCACAATTTATAATTATCAAAGCGTTGTTTATTTGATAAATCAGTCTAGATATGAGTCGCGTCAGTCTTCTTGTAAAGCTATTCAACTCTTCCCCTTTTAATACGAAATTTCTTACGCGTTCGAATAGAATGCGCGCCCGCGCAAACACACAAATTGGCTACAAAAAGTGAAAACAACACGAAATTTTCACGGCCCGTAAGGCCTGGATTAAAAATAATACGCCAAGTGACAATATAATTCGTGTAATTAAGTTCAGCTAATAGACGATGTGGCCACAACGACATCACCGCGTCAAAGAAGACATAATAAGTAGGAATTAGAACGCGGCTTCGAGGAAGATAGAAACATGTACACAACATCGTCCAACCAAATACACTCCACTTGGTTATTAAGCCATTAGCGTGCTGCACTCGGTGGCACTCGCCAGGTAGGCAGTAACAATTCATCACTTACTTGATTTCCGTTTATTTCCCAGAGTGGCTCTGAGTAGCTCATATCCCGTCCTTAGGTTGATGTCCGGCTAATCACTAGTCGATTAAATGGACTAGGGGATTGTCGAATTGCCGGAGGTTGGGATTACGCGAGACGCCGATCGTCGCAATTTCAGCACTCATCCGCGCTCCGTCGAGTACTACCCGCAAATGTTTTGACGACGTAGCCGAGCGGATCCGTGCCCGGCGGGGTTGGTACGAGGGAGACATCGTGAACTTTAGTGGTGGACACGCCCCTTCATTCGATAACTTTGCCCACTTTAACGTAATCCTCCTTCTCCTCATCCTCCTCCTCCTCGCCACGGCGTCATCATCATCCCCCACCCCGTCGACGATTCTCAGCCCCGGCGTCGTGGCTACCCCACCCGCGGATTTTTTTCTTCATCTTCGTTTCATTTTTTTTCCTCTTTTTTTTTCTTTTCTTTATTTGTTTTTTGTTTTTTACATCGTTCGCTTCCCGGATTCCAAGACAAGTCGGTAATCTGCCAATGTGCCGGTAATGCCACGCTTAGCGACTAGTCTCACCTTCTTTAGCAAATAATATCCTTCCTATTGCTGTATCCCTCCAATCGCATCATCATCTCCATTATTTCTTTAAATTAACGGCTCCCACGCATCGACCTTGAAAAAGGCCTCGATCTTTGCAAGCCAGCAGTAACAACGTCTCGGAGCATCCACGCTTGCTAACGCCTCCCCCTCGGTCCGCAATTTATTTATCAACAACAATACCTAAGCCCCTCGTCTCTAATCAAGCTGATAAGAGTAGAAACGTCGTAGCTTCGCCTTCGCCTTCGCCTTCGCCTTCGCCTTCGCCTTCGCCTTCGCCTTCGCCGTCCACGACTCCCTCCAAACTCATATTTCATACACGGATAATACGGTGTTCGAGTGGTCGCGGCACCTGCGCAAAGACACCCAACATCCCATTGGCCAGGCCAGGGGGTGAATGTCTGTCGGGTATTTCGCCATTGGGCGCCCGAGGCTCGGAGGGTGGAACCTCGAGAACGATTATTCTGGCACCGGGCGCATAGTGCTTGGACGAAACTTGACGAGACAACCCCGACGTAGTAGAGATGTGTTGAACATCCGTGTTTGCTACTGAAATTCGCCACTTTATTATTAAGGTAAACAAATTGGCCAAATCTTTGGATGATCGCTCTTCTTTTCCAGTGAATTTCATTTGAAAATAGAAAGAAGCACACTCGGATTGTATACATATATATATATATAAACAATTTTTATAATTAATAAAGCGGCAGCCCTGATGCCAACTCGAGATCTAATTAATTTCTGTAATTCTCAATTCAATGACTGAAGCCGCAAAAATTGTTTGATAACTATAATTTTAATTATAGGTAAGTAAAGATTTTTTTTTTAAGAAAGAAAGCCACATTACGCAGCTTATCATTTTTGATAATGTATATAGTCGAAGAGTTTGTGTATTCCATGACAGCGTAAAATTACGAGCTTTTAACATTCGTCAGAAATTCATAACGTAAAATAAATTAATACAAGATAATTAGAATATATTTTTGACTTTGATAACGAGTTATTGATTTTCTTAAATTTGTTTAAATTATAAAATCATAAATGATATATATATATATATATATCGTTCTAATTGACCCATTAATATGTATATGTATAGTAGATATTATTTGTATTGTTAAATTATAAAATAGAAGGTCTAATAAACTTCTCCCCATAACAAAAGACATATTTTTATTATTTGAATTATTTTTAAATACGCAAGCACTCGAAGTAACTCAATAATATTGTTTTTACCTAATCTATATATTACAATAGCCTATAAAAATTATTGTAACACTCGTGTTAAGTTGGAATAAACGTATAAACTGAAAAATTGTATATAAAAAACTCGAAAATTATAATGCTATTTGTTATCATATAATTAAATAGCTCATTATGTAATGCACAAATTCTCAAGTAATTATTCGATAAAGATTTTATCGTGGTTATGTTTGCTATTATATTCAACATTTACGCAAGATTTAAGCGAAGTTGCATCGGATTCAATGTGCAAATTAAATTATCTTAAATTAGAAAGAAAATGCACATACTGTCTTCCTTTTCCAAATATATTTAAATTAGCTTTTATTATTATTTCTTTTTTATTTCATATTAATTTTCAGTTACGTACAATCATAAAGATCATTAATTAATTAGAACGATTTTTTAATAATTATCCGAGCAATTGTTAGATTCTTAGAAGAATATTTTATTAGTGCTCCTTACGATTATTCAAAGATGCTCATTGGAAATAGTTAAACAAAATTTTAATTGCTATTTATTTTGCCAATTATTAAAGAAATTTTATTAGATTTTTATAGAAGTTTGTAGAATTTTACGTTAAAGTTTACGATATTAGTTGTAGAAGAATATTCATTCTTACTAATATAAATAATTTAATGCTAATGATAGAAGTAAAAAAAATTGTTATATTTCTGTCTTATTAAAGTATAGAAATTTATACATTATTTATAGATACATCATTTATTATTATTATTATTATTATTATTATTATTATTATTATTATTACGTTTATTTTCAATTATTAATCCTTTAAAATTCATTCGGAGAGTATGTTTACCTTCTAGTTCAACATAATGTTAATTTATTTTTTTATTGCTGTGATTACAGTGAATTAATTATTTATGATTTAGTGTCGTTGGTTTTTGTAATTTATACAAAAAATTGTCCGGCATATCTGGATTATACATGTAGTATCAAACATTAATTGCAAATAAGCATTAAACATGATATTATTACGACTAATAAACGTTATAAAGTTTGCTGAGAATTCTGTACATTTCTGTACTTGGCATTCAGCGTGTAAAATAAATTCATAAATATGCTTAACATATAGGTAAGATTGAAACTTAAAGTATAAATTCCTAAAATTAGTTACTATTTTAGTCTTAAATATTTTTAAGATTTATTGACAGCTACGAGAGATGTGCAATAATTAAGTCGTATCCAAAGTATCAAAACTACTAGATAATTTTTTTTTGTTTTGTTTGAAAGGGCATAATGGATAAAAGAGAAGGAAATCCAACTATTTAGCGTAAACGTTCACCGCTCCTTTCATAAAATACAATTTCACCAGAAATTTCTACATAATCGTTTCAACTTATGAAAAAACTTTGCTACATTGGCTGCAGTCGTGAAAGAAGTAAGAAAATATCCATTCGAAGTAATAAATCATATATTATTAAGCTTTTATGCCAGTAGAGATTTTGCAGTTAAGTGAATGTCCCTGATTTGGCATTTTCCTCGCCCCATATCGCCAAGTTAAAGATATTCGGTTCCTTAAAAAGAAAAAAAAAAGTGAACAAAGAAATTAAAGTAAATAAATAAATAAATGATAAAGAAAATTGAGTGCACAGCAGATCACGAGTCAACTTTGGCAATGCGTTTGACGTAATAGCATTGACATATTAAATAACTTGTTTTCCTCTCTATTTGTCTACATATCCAAACGGATCAACGTTCGATCCGATCTTCAGCTCCACTTTCAATCGACTTCCAACCCACTCATCCAATTTATATGACGCCTATCCCATCCAATATATATATATATATATATATATATATATATAATCGCTTTATCGAGATAAAGCGATCGTCATCGAGCGGAAAGTGCACTTCCGATGGAAATCGGCATCTCGAATAGGCATTCAATGCGGAAAAGCGTGAAATTCATCGGAAATACGTGGAGCATATTGCCTGAGCCAGAGGCGTTGTTGGTCTTCGTCTCGCCGCACAAATTAATTAAATCGACATTAGCCGAGACGGCTGACAGCGGCTAATTTCCCTGTGTCAAATACGATCTCGTGTTTGTTCGAGTAGGGCGCGGACTTATACCCCCCCCCCCCCCCCCCCCCCCCCCCCCCCCCCCCCCCCCGCGGGTACCGGGGTGCATAATATTATTAATATAGAATCTTGGGGGAAGTGTCGTGCTCCCTTTTTGCCCGGCGTTGGCTCTTCTTCAGTCCCCTCCCGTACCCCTAACATCAGCCGTCCACCGCCACTCTTATACGTACACGCTTGTATTTCCACTGAACCTCGGTGACAGCGGAGATTTTCCACGATTACGCGATACAATGTCATTACAGGGCACGATTTTGCCCGATTGTTGAGCCATGACATCGACGAGCCTCCTCTTTTCCATTTCCCTTAGCATTAGACGCTCGTGAAATGTCACCGAATTAGCTTGCATTTGTAACGGATTAAGCGAAAGAATCATACGTGCAATTATCTTCTTTGTTCGATTTTGATTTCTCTATAATGCATTTTGGCTGGGGCTTTATGCTACGAGGCACTTTTCCACGCTTCGTGAAAAAAAATTAAGTTCCATATACTATGTTTAGAAATGGAAATTTTGAAATTCTTTTTTATCCTTTTCACATTAATAATGGCTTTTTACATTAATCATGCTTGAACTACGATTCGGATCAATGTTACTTTCTCTCATCGCAGATTCCATTGAATAATCCTGTATCATCATGTTCCGTGATTCTACTCGTTCGGCCACTACTTCTTCATTAATCTATCCTTATTCAACGACATTTCTTCTACACAAATTCGTAATTTCCAATTGTTCTATTCCAATAATCTATGCACATCCATCTATTAAGCATTAATTTTCATAATACGACGTTGTGTATGTGTATATATATATATATATATAAAAAAAAAAAAAAAAAAAAAAAAAAAAAAAAAAAAAAAAATGAAAAGTGAGAGCTTTTGACGTCTCGAGAACTAATTGCATATCCTTTTCTATTTATATTTTTAAGGAAAGAATTTTGTAATCGCTTGTAAAATTATACTTAGTGCATGGGAAATACATGTGATAACAGTTTTAATATAAGCCAACTCTTGCCTATTCGTAAATAAATATCAATCCGTAAAATGTTTTTCATTTTTAAATCGAATGATATTCCTTTACCAAGCAATTAATCTAAAAATAAATATAACAAATGTTTAGAACTTTATTGAAAATTCCAGGATTACTTAAGACACTTAAGGCATTAGCAGCTCCTCAATAGATCTTAAATGCTTATCTTAAATATAACTTAATTAAAACTAATATATTAAAAATAGATGTTTAAGAGCCTTAAGCGATAAATACGTTTGAAAATGTTAACATTAGTATTAATTGAAAAAAAAAAACAAAAAACAAAAAAACAAAAAACAAAAAAACAAAAAACAAAACAAAACAAAGACAAAGTAGTGAAAATTA